TCTTAAATAATAAAGAAACTTCAATAATAAAGAAGTGTGAATGGTTTGAATGCAGAAGGGAATATAATTAAAACGAGAATAATTTTGTGCTAGCAGGTAATCTGATATGCATCATGACAATTAGAGAGAGAAAGGCACAGCGTATGTTCACATCACAAATCTCAAAGCATTCTGCAGCAGTGCGAAATTCGCTCCAACCAGAATCTATTCACAATTTCCAAAAAGTATTTCATTTTCCACACCTCCACTGTCAGGTGAACTCCGATGCAGTCTATCCAGTTGATGCATGGATCTGAAACATCATTCCAAAGACTTGATAAGAAAGTATAATTTCAGTTCTCATATGGAGACATATTGATTAAAAACAGAGAACTGTCCTCCAGTATGTGCGAGACAATGGAAAAGCTGCATCAAAGCTACAAATTGTAACAGTGAAGCACTGATGTGGAAAGCACTAGAAAAGGCAAGTTGAATGACAATTGAGACATGTTTTTAGCATGAAGCTTCCTGTATACAATTGCTAGGTTTATTGTAGCTAGGTTATTTTCAACTAATGTTCTGTGATGTCTTTGTTGGTTTATTCATCTCTTGCTTCAAATCGGCAAGCTTGAGAAAAACTTAGAAGATGAATTGTGATCAATGCCCAGTACAGACGTCTCAAGAGCACTAAAGGCAATCTTAACAGGCTTCAGTTTTTTTATAGGAGACTTTTCTACTTTTCCATCCATTAATCTGACCACTTTGAAGTCTGTCACAAATGTGGAGTACAGCATACTGTAAATATGCCATTTGCATAACAGCTTTCACCAAATATTTCAGGCAGTTTGACAAAGCTAAAACACTTTATGATTCTGACAGTTTTGACTGTTTTTATTCTGTCTAATTCTTATCTTATCCAGTTACAAGAGGGTGTTAAATACAAGAGTTTATTCGTTATTCCATCCATCCTTGTCCTAACAGCTTTATCCAGTTCAAGGTCTCGGGAGAGTCCGAAAAATTTCCTTGTTCCTTGGGTAGCATTTTTAAATCTTTGATTCAAATGGCAAAGTGTCATCTTTAGACCGTAAAGTATTTACAACATATTACACAATTCAGGTTAAGTGTTTGTGTTTACTTTCACAGCTTTAGGGAACATCTATAAATAGGAACCTAATGTAACACAAACATTGAAATGATCATATGAGTCATTAATTATTGTAATTAACTAAGTAATACCTCTGATTTAATTGTGAAAATAAATATCCTGATAACAGAAGCACAGACTAATCTTTCAAACCAGTTGGAGTTCATATGATTATACGCAAAAAATCCAATACACATCTACAATATAACAATAAATGCAATAAGATTTATCGCTACGTGTATATGTTGCACCTGTGTCATTAGACACATCGAATTACTTAAATAAATGAACACATTTAAAATCCTTGTCTACTCTGAAACACCAGAGGTGGACCCTGAATATTAATCTTATTGTTTGCTCATGAAAAGGCATGTATTCAAATATAAATATTTTCTATGATAATTGAAAAACTTTTTTTAGATTTTGTTTATTTTTCATCTTTGTTTCTGGTTTTGTTAATTAGTTCACAGTTCAGCTGTACAAAGCCCTTATATTTTTGTGGATGAATTTGGTGAATAGATAATTATTCACTTAAACAGACTAATGGCGACTGAGAATGGGATGATAATGTGGGCTGCACAGACGTTTGATATCTATTGAACTGCTCTGGGGATCAAGAGATACATTTGCTAATTAAAAACTCTAGAGGCAAAGCATTACAGTTTGAGCCCATGAAACACTTTTCAATCAGTCTTGCATTTAATGTCTAGTTTTCATCACAGTGGGAAGTCATCATCTTCTGAGAGAAGGTAAATGAAATGAATGGCAATTCGGGTGATTGAACAAATCTTAATCACACTTTACTTGGTTTGTGTGATGTCAGAAGTAAACCGCCAAATCAGAAACTGAAGTCTACTGTATAGTACCATTTCAGGCCTTCGGTGCGATTACCCACCACACCTTTTTACAAACCTGGTGTGTCAGAGCATTTTTGACAGATGTTTTCTGTTTCTCCCTGCAAGAAAGCTATCAAGCACATGACAGAACTAACACCAGCCAGGGGAGTCTGTTGGCTAGAACTTCAGTAGAATACTCTATAGGATAGTTCGGGAAAGACTGATATTAAACTAATTTGAAACTTATCATAGGGTACTTTAAATCATGACACAAATATATTCCCGAGCTACTTAAGAAAATATTGTATTAGTTTCTGAGCGACATTGTTTGTTTTTGCATGAGTAACATGAAATCAAACACTGCAAATCCAAACCATAGTTATCTGTACTCTGTCTGGCCTCTGCACTAGTCTAGTCTTTTCTGATGTGAAGTTGTGTCACGAATGTTCATAGTGCACTGCAGCACTCTCACTGGTCAAAGTACTTTTCTTAGCCAACAATTAGTGGATGACTGGTTCTAAAATAAAAAGCACGTATAAATCTGGGATGTATTTGAAAAAAAATAACAAATTGGTGTTGTACAGTAGCTCAGTTTTGAGACAGATTCTTGTTTGACTGCTGACAAAATCTACATCAGGTGCTTTCAGCCTAAAATGTGCACTTTCCTGTACTCAACATACTGCTTGTGTTTCAATAATATGTTATGCATACCTGTCTTGTCTGGTCTGTTGTGCTCCCTTACCATTAAACATTTAAAAGTGTTGGAAATTGTAAGTGTGTTCCATTTATGCAAGGCATATATATACTGTATATACTGTACACACAATATGAACAATTTGTTTGTGAGACAGAGATTTGAAACCCTTCTTTTAATCATACTGTACTTCATACTTGTGATGCTTTTTTTTGCTGACTCTTTAGTTCTTTTCCTCTAATGTTTTGCTGCATTTTTCCACCTGTTGTAGGCCAATTCACAATGGAAAAGAAAACAGTTACCTACAGTAGGATAAATGCATAGTGGTTACTGAATGACGTACATTCCTAAGACCTACTGTATAGTCTGCAGTATTCCCGTTGCTCTTATTCCTAAACCGCTATCAGATTTCAAAAATGCTTTTAACAGTTCAGTAGAAAGAGGTGCAATCACAATAAACTTAAATCTCACTCTGTCCCTGTGGTCGCCATCACAAAGTGTTTTTTAATGATTTGACGTTTGTGTATTGGCTGGGGACATCATTAGCCACGAGAACGCACTGCACTGGGCTACTTTCAAGACAACACTGGCTCCTTTGTGGACCCATTATCAATTCAGCTAATTAGATTTTTTTTAAAAACCGAATGACACTCGTGCCCTCTCGTTAATTATACATTCAGCGTGATCAAAGGGAGGACAAATTCAGACATTAGAAAAACAAGGCAGCTAACCAACCGAGGAGGGAGCCTAAGTGTTAATTGTATCTACACCTCTACGTCTTCATATTTTCTGTTAATGAGCCCTTTATGTGGAAGACAAAAGATTCTATCTCTACAAACTCTAGAAAGATAGGGAGAGTGATTGCCTTACTTTTGCCTTTTGTATTGGATGAAATAATTCAAAATAAATATTTCTGTATGATGCAAACATACTGTATATGTTTCAGATGGATTCATTTATAAATGTATTCTTAGATATTGCTATCCCTTAAAAATGTATATGTTCTCTTTAGATGATCTTTACCTTCAAGCTGAGTTAAAAAATATTTAAGCAAAATGATATGCTTAAACAGGCAATAAATCAATATCTTGACTGGAGTGTATTTCTAAGATTTGTCAAGGCTGTTAAAAAGTTTCTAACTCTATTGTACACTGTAATGCATGCAATGCATAGCTAAATACAGTACTGTATATATTTTAAAGCATATTAATGTTTCTTCTTATTTGCTTCCCTTTATTCTCTCAGATTTTCTGATAATTTTGATCTATGATTTTTCCTATGATCATAGTATTTCATTTAAAAAACTCATTGTTGTCCTAAAACCACCGAAGAGCTTATCAAACAAAATTGGATTGGCATCCAGATATAATCGAATAAAACCCAACAGAGAGTAAAACTCCAACTC